TTATAAAGGTAAATCGAATGGAAAATCTCCCTCACACAGGACCCTCTGTCCCTTAAAGAGGTCCTGGGGATGACGACAAAGACGCTGTCTTTTCCCAATTAGTGTTGACATGCAATATTATTTTATATTAGTTTCAGGTGTGCGGCATAGTAGTCAGATATTTATATAATTTACAAAGGGATCCCCTGATTAGTCTGGCACCCACCTGGCACCACACGTAGTTATGATATTATCGACTATATTCCCTGCGCTATACTTCACCTTCCTGTGACTGTTTTGTAACTACCAATTGGGCTTCTTAATCCCTTCACCTTTTTCACCCAGCCCCCCAAATCCCCTCCTGTCTGGCTTAATCCCTTCACCTTTTTTACCCAGCCCCCCAAATCCCCTCCCGTCTGCCAACCGTCCGTTTGCTCTTGTATCTGTGCGTCTGTTTTCATTTTGTTTGTTTATTTTTTCTTTAGATTCTACAAATAAGCGAGATCACATGGTATTTGTCTTCCTTTGTCCGACTTATTTCACTTAGCACGATACCGTCTAGGTCCATCTGTGTTGTTGCAAATGGTAAGATTTCATTTTTTATGGTCGAGTAATATTCCATCGTATATATGAACCACGACTTCTTTATCCAGTTGTCTCCTGATGGGCGCTTAGGTTGCTTTCAAGTCTTGGCTATTGTAAATAGCGCTACGGTGAACATAGGGATGCATAGAGCTCTTTTTGAATTAGTGTGGACAGGGTCGTTGTCTTGATGTGTTTGAAGACGGAATGCTAGTGTGCCCGAGGGGAATGGGCACAGAGCTGGCTTGAGCAGCGGGGACTCTGATTTCAGACAGCCAAAGAATGAGAGGATGGTTAGTCTTCTAGACGTGTAAGAGAATATGGGAGAAGATGCTGGGTCTGTGGTGAGCAGGTGTGGCCGAGGGTCCCAGACAGGAGTGTTTTCTGAACATGAAGTCATTAGGGTGGGGGTGGGGCTGGAGTTGACCAGGAGAGGACCTGAATGAGAACATCTGTGCCAAGTGCCATGACAAAGAAACATGGCGAGATTTTCCTGGAAACAGAATTATGAGGCGAGCTCCTGGTTCTGGTTTTCCCAGTGTTGAAATCGATGCTGACTTTTTCTTTCTTTCTTTCTCTCGTTCTCTCTCTCTCTTTCTTTCTTTCTCTCATTCTCTCTCTCTTTCTTTCTTTCTTTCTTTCTTTCTTTCTATAATGTAGGGTAGGGAAGAAAGATAAACTTTGTAGTTACTCTTTTTTCTCTCTCCCCCTCCCTCCCTCCCTCCCTCCCTTCCTTCCTTCCTTCTTTTCTTTCTTTTTAACCTCTACTTGTTTCCCAACCAAAGAAAAAGTAAACAAAAGCCATGTATATGAACTACTGCTACTGCGAGTAGCCATGACAATTGACTCTCTAGACCAGTCTGAAAACAGTGAAGCAAATTTCTGCTGATAAGAAGGTATCGAATGCCACATGCAGAATGCTCCCAGTACAGTTCATGTTTGGTTTTCTACATAAATTGGACAATATTGGACAGTTCTGCACATCTGCTTTAACCTGGTAATTGTTACTGTGCATATTTGGTCAGAGAGAATGCTTCCTGCCTTCTGCATGCCCTGATCGGTTAAGTTGGATTGATATGTAAATAGAATGATGCAGCGTTGGTAGTCATAATATCAATGAATCATTTCTCAAGCTTCCAGCAAAGAACGTCAACATCCAGCACCTCATGTCAGGGTTTCCCCTCAAGACAGATCATCATGCTCTCTTCCTGTAATGCTTCATCTTATTTACTGGTCTACTTAGTATAGATGATGCTCTTAGTATAGATGTGGCTACTTCTGTTCAGCAGACAACACAGGTTCTCGGGATGTTGAGCTCATGTAGGGCACTAATGGATGGAGGAGGCTGGATCTTCTTGGGGGTGAGAGTGGGCGGGGAGAAAAGGCCACCTCCTCCTTCAAGATGCTAACTTTTATCACCTCATGGAGAAGTGGTGAGGAGGGTAACATATTTTCCTACTAGACTTTGGAGAATGACATCCATCCATCCACCCAGCCATCCATTTTAGCATAGCCTAGCGATGAGTTCTTGTGTTACTTAAACTTTAAAAAAGACTAATAGCATTTCTACAATTGATCTGTGGACTGTTGGTTTGACTCTGCTTTTTTCTAAGTCAGGTGTTCTCATGACTCTCAGCCTGTGGATGCTAATGAAGTCACACGGAACTTCGCATGGGAATCCTCCTGCCTCATTACTGCCCACCTGCCGAGGAGGCCCTCAGGGGGATGCTGGGAGATGCTCAGGCTCAGTAGTTCAAAGGGGGGACTTGGGAGCCTGTGTTTCTGGGTTAGGGTTGTGTCTCTGCCACTTTCCAGCTACACGACTTTGATCAAGTTCCTCTCTGTGCCTTAGGGTACAATCTGTAAAGTGAGGCTGATGAGCATAATGATGGCATCTAGCTCAGCATCAGAATTCTATGAGCACTTGGGTCATATCTGGCCTCGGCATGTGTGAGCTGTGATCACCCCTGAAACCAGCCTGACTTAAACCCTCTTCATTGACTAATTCAGGGAAATTTCAACCACCTCGCCTGGTGTTAAAACAACCATATGTGTTGACCACTGTAGACCCGGGAACAGGAAAGCTCTTGGATGATTCCCCCACTGCCCTCGGCCTTGCCTTAAAGAGGTCATGACGTCTCAAAGTATTCTGGGAGGAGATGCTTTCAGTGACTAGTTCTTTTTTTGCCAGGATCATTTTCTGATCCGAGACACCATCTCCTTATGACATCTATCAGCTCCATTTTGTCTCCATCAAATGAGACCTAACACAAAAACCCTGTCTTAGAAATCCTGAAAATATGACTCCTTTTTCTCCCCTATGCACATTTCATTTTATTTCTTTTCCCTCGGGTTTCTAAAACGTGATCTTTTATGAACTGAAGTATTCACGACATTGAAAGGTGTCAATGTTTGAGGTATTTCAAGCCAGCGGACTTGAGCGTGCACCTGTTTTGCACTTGTATTCCATTTAATTAGACGTTATTCAACTCTAGAACACTATCCTTTTATTTCATGGATTTTTTTTTTAAATAAGCCGTCTGTGCATTCTACAGGGAAGGGCGAGGGTTTAAACCCCAGAGCATTTCAGCTGCTAAATGTGCCACTAGCTTGATTGTCCACAGTGGTGATCTGAGCTCCACCCAGTGCAGCAGACATACCAGCTTCGTGTTTGAAAAGAGACATCAGAATAAGCACGGGCAAGAGCAAGAAGCGTTTTTACTTGTGAATCTATTATCTTTAGAAAATGTGTAATTTGGTTTAAATCGAGGCAGTGTATATTAGAGTTTAAGCGCTTTGGGTAATGATGCCATACGATGAGGATCTGAATGGAGTTGGGTGAAGATCAACTGATGTTTGGCTAAGACTTGCCACCTTCTCCCTCCATGGGAACATAGGGAAGATCTAGCGTTCTGAAAATTAAGACGTTACAAGTTAAATATGAAGAAGGGACCCATATTGATGTAAACTTTCCAATTTATCGTCTTTCTTTCCACTTCCTGCCAGAGAGAGGTGGGTTTTCTCTCTCAGAATGGGACAGAGCAACTGCTCCCAGCCCTCCACCTGAGTGGGCATTGGCACTTCACATTGATTGGGATTCGGTGCGTGTACGTGCGTGTGTGTGGGTTGATTGATAACAAATGGGACACTTGACTTTGCCTCTCTCAGGTTAGTGTCTGTACAAGGCAATGAGCATACACGTGGGTGGTTACCATTGTCAGCAGAAGTCTTTATTATTCATCTTATTTGTTTACACTAATCAGAACTCAAAAGCAAGATCTTCCCAATCAAGGGTTGACTAAGGACCTGGGAATTTCTCATGATGACATTGAATGCTAATGGGAACTGGTTATTGTTTTTTTGATATTGTTTTTAGATTGGAAGTCCTGGACCCAAATTAAAATTTAAGGGTAGCTTTGTCCCTTAGTGGAAGTCACCTAGAGTGGCGTGCTCCTCATTCAGTGTTCCACCTTTCTTTCCAGGGTCCCATTCTGATAGTTGGGGAAGAATGACAATTTCTGCAAGACACTAACCTTTGGGCAAGAAGCCAGGTCTCCAGTCTTGACTGTGCCACCAATTAGCTACGTGACTTTGAGTGAATCAGGCTCCCTACCTGGCTTCATTTTCTTTGTCTGAAAGTTAGAGACTTTGCAGTCATTTTAATCCTTTTCAACTTAAAGCACATTTTCTGATAAATCACCAGAAAACTGGATTGACAAAGTACTTCTCTCCACTGGCTAGAACAATTCTGAACATCATGTCATTTAAAGGCAGTAGCTGGACTGGCTTTGAGGAAACAAGTTACATCTTTACACATGTAACGCATTTCACATAGCTCCCCAGACCTCACACACAAGAAATCTCACTTAAAGATTCAAATCTAACCGTAAGATATTCATACTTCTGGTCAACCTGGTAAAATGAAAATGTGCATGATAAGCATAAGCGATGACAGGAAAAAACAAAACAAAACAAAACAACAAATTCAACAATAAGAGAAATCTTGAATATCAACATAAAATTTTCTTAGTTGATTAAAAATTATTTAAAAATAAGACATTGGACTTTATGGTTGGGATGAGAACGTAGCAGTGTTTGGCTTCCGTTGCCAGTTCTGATCTTCTCACTTTCGGCCCAAACCCTTTGCTGTTGTATCGTATTTTTGACAAGGTTATGCTTCATCAAAAATGGCATCCCATCTGGTAGCCCTTGATGTGGACAAGGGTGGCAGTCTTGCAACTTCAGTAGATCTTTTCTTGGGTTGGTCTTTTCCTGGTCTCATGAGCTCCTCGTTTTAACCATCTGAGTTAAAGTAACATAGAACTTGATATGATGCAAGAGATATTTGAAACAATAAAAGAGACGAAAATCATTCTGAATATATCTGATACCAATTTCTCTCTCTCTCTCTCTTTTTTTTTTTTTTTTAATGCCTTTAGCGACAAGGTGCTGGGGCCACCAATGGGAAAGACAAGACATCCGGCGAAAATGGTAAGATGAAATGAATAGTCCAACTATTTGCTTTTTTCCCACCTGCAGCCTTGGGCACGTGGCAGGTGTGGATCATGCAATCGCCTTACTATATATGTCTGCGCTTCGGTTTAGAGTGGATTTTGGCAATTGTCAGTGAGCCCCGCGGTCTGGTTTTATAAAGAAAACCGAGCTAGCTAAGTGTAGTGATAAGAACAGCTTCCTCCCCGAAGGAGGACTCCCATTTTGGGCAACATGATAATTACAATGCAAATATAGTTCTCTGCTTTCTTCATTAGGGTTGGTGAGAATCAGCCGAGTTGTTGTGAGGATAAAAATAAGATCAAATGAGATAAGTGCTTTGAAAACTGTGAAGCACTCAACTCCTTGAAGGAGGTTTTAAAATCTGCTTCAGCCCTCCCTGTGCACGGAGCACAGTGCTGGTCCCAGGGGAGGTGCAGGACCAGTGAGTGTCTCTGCTGTCATTCACCAGCAAGTAAAAATATATAGTAGAGACCAGAGCAGTTGCAACCCGCGACTCCAGTCTCCACGTTGGCCTTAAATTGTAGGAATGATCATATTTTCTGGATGAGGAAACTGAGCTTGGAGCGGAGGAGCTAGGACGTGAGCCCGGATAGGAAGAAGATGGACTTGAAGGAGACAGAGCGGGGTGTGAGCCCAGCTCCCCAGTTTTAGGGGTCGTGATAGGGGATGGTTTGCAATAGTGAAAAATCCCGGGTAAGCACCGAGGACTGTAGACGCGGTGCTGGTGAGGTTAGATTCTGGGTGCTCTTACTTTTTATTAATTATAAAAAACTCACCTTTTGTGGAAAACTAGTCTCATTTCCAGCCGCGTGGGATTTCTGTGGGAGCCCGCTCATCTAGTTGTGGGAGATGCCAATCTCACACACCGGCCGTAATAACTCCTACGGAGTCTCAAGGCTCCGTCCACTTTGGATGGTCTGTCCTGAGTCTGAGCCAGGACCTGAGCAAGACTCGAATACTAGAATGTTCCTTTGTACAGCACTCATCTGCGCCCTGCTGACTCACCCATCTGTTTCGGGCCTTCCTATTAGATAGGGTCAGTACGGTGACCTCTGGGGTGAAAGGTCATTACATTGGCTTTGGTGCCCAAGAATGTTCTGATCAGCGGTGGCGGGGAGGGCGGAGAGGGAAATGAGTTCTTGGCAAGCCCTTCACGATGCCCGGGGTTCTCCCCGTCTCCTCCGTGTGAGCTGGGGAAGGAGGAACTGCCCTACAGATGTGTCCCGATGTCCCTGGTTCTTAGATTCACATCCATCTCTCCAACGGTGTGCGCTTCACTGAACTTCATGACCTCAGAACCGTGGGGTCTTGTGGAGTCTTGTGGAGTCTTGTGGGGTCTTATAGCCAGAAGACTCCCCAGAGACGCTGTCCTGTAGCACGTCTACAAGCTTTTTCCCTCACCACTTCTTTCCATTCCTCAAAGTTCGTGACATTTCCCAGAAACTTTTGTTTATGTCGGTTATATCTATCGATGGTTCCCATATTAGAAATTAAAAGAGACATTCGTGAAAGCTTTTCTTATGCACTTATTCGAAATAAGTTTATCACCCTATGACATGTTAAAATAAATAACATTTAAACATGAAAAGCAATTACATTTTCCAAAACAGGAGAAAAAAAAACATTCAGTGAAAGAGTAGCAATGTTTGACATTTTTGCCAATCTCTTTCATTTCTGGAGCAATAGAAGACAACCGCCTCCGCTTTTAGTCTTTTATAATGTCACGGGTCGTGTGGCCTCTGGAAAATTCCACTGTGAACTAGTGAGAGAATGAGATTTAAAAAAAAAGCAAACAAACAAACAAAAGTCTTAGTCCTCTGAAAATTAATTTTGATTGTGGGTTCCTCGCCCACACTTTGAGAATGCTGCTGTAGCGTAAGTAACTCCCGCGAAGATCACACACGGTGGTGGCCGGGACAGTTTGGGTCCCTTGTGTTTGACGCCTCTGCTACCTGGCTTTACCTGACATTCCACTGGTCTTTGCAGAGTGTCTACATGCTCAGAGCTTTACACCCAAGGGAACTGTCAGAGTTTACAGAAGACACCACCATTTTCTGCCATTTCAAGGCATGGAATTTCTTTCAGCTAAAATCGATCCGTTCTAATGACGACTGAGTGTGTCTTTCTGGAGGGATAAAAATTAATTGAAAGGAAAAGTTCAAGATGCTATGGATAATGCTTTTTTTAAAAAATATAATTCTAGATATTAGAAGATATTCACTTTTGAGTAGAAAAAGGGATATTTAGAATTAGAGATTATTTGATAGTTGTAGAATAATGATAGTTATAGAATAATAATAAATTCAAATTATTATCAACATGTACTTTAATTTCAGACAAAACTGCTCATGTACAGTATATGTACATGATATTTTATTATAATATTAAGTTTGTGCTTTTGCCTCTAAAAATAAACAAGGGCAAAAGTCAGTAACAACCAACAAAGACTGGGCTAAAGACTTCTACGAGTGGTCTAAAAGACATTTTCCTAGAAAACTAAGTTGCTTAATTTTTTAAACTTAAATTTATAAGATGAGAAGATCATCTCAGAATTTTTTTAAAGCTAATAATACATTCCATTGAAATTCAAATTATTTTACTTTGTCATCACAGGTATCTAGAGAGAGCTTTTATCTTAATGTATATTTCTTACTAATACAGATGAAGCTGCCTACATGTGTTGAAGGAGCAGGGACCCATGAGAATAGAAATATGAAGCAGAGAACATCAAAATGTTATGAGTTTGGATAGTAGTCAATTAGGCCCAAATTTTATTAGTCATCTACAAGTCAAAGTGTTCTTATTTCAAATATTGTAAATTTAAGTTAAGTCTCCATCTGGCACTTAGAGCACGAAGACTATGGGAGTGAATTATGAGTGCCTTGAAACTGTAATTTGGATCAGGAAAGACACAAATCAGGTCCATTAAAACTCCAGTGTGATCTAAATTCTAAGGCTCCAGTGGAATTTGGTTGTATTAAGTATTATCTCAAGAGGGCCATTTGCTGGGAATCTAGATTCTTATAATTCCAAGATTTGTTTTTGTAGTTCCTGCCATGGTATTTATTGACGTGAAATATGACATTTATCCACTCCATATCCAGAATGCCCCTCACTTTCCGAGACAGCAAGCTCTGAACACACAACCCAGCAAATCTGATATTCCTCATTTCATCTGCAGTGTGGAGATAAGTTTTTCAGAAATATTAGGGTTATTCGTATTTTTTTTAATTAAAAATAAAGTCATTAAGATCTTAGTGGTTCAGAGATTTTCATTCCCATGTGAACAAAGTACCTTCATTATTTAATTAGTTCAAGCCAAGAACTTCATTCGTTTTTTGATATAATGCCCTACTTGGGTGAAACAGTAGTTTATCGCTTCAGTTACGACTCATCTACATTCAGTTCAAACATGTTTATAGACATAGACACAACCATCTGAATCTAGATGATTTGCCATCAATTACCAATTTGGAGATAATCAAAAGATTCTTTTGCAAGGCAATAATTTTGCTGGATGTTTTAATCTGTATCTTGATGTTCATCATCCAGAGAGACTCCGAGAGTTAAAATTTTTTATCGACATACAGAAGTCAGAAAATACTGAAGGGAGAGTAGCTACTGGGAGACTTCCAATCCTAAGGAAAGATTTATGAATAATGAGCCTCCGACTGAGCTTACTTTCAGAGCTTGGAGGCTTAGCCAAGCTAAATTGGATTTCTAAAATGGGAAAGGATTCCTCCTGACTTAGTGCGCTGGGATACATTTGTTTCCAAAAGGCTCTGTCTTTGGAGATGAAAGGCATAGATGCACCTGATTTTGGTAAAAGAATCCCCTCCAGAGCAGGCTAGAGGTGAATACCCAGAAGGCAGGTGTTATCCTGAGCCTCCTCGGGGGCTCACTGTTTCTCTGAGGTGTGAGTAGCTGAGCAGACACACTCAGGCACCATGCTTGAGTAGGGGTGCCCGTGTTTTTGGGAACAGATTGTGGCTTGAGTAATGGCTACCTGGTGTGAGGAGATGCTAGGCGCTCACAGATTGAGTTTGCTTCGATATGATTATATGATTGCTCACAACGAATAATATCAAACGTTGTCATACTGAGTATTTGCCTCTTCTTGTTTTGAAAAAGACCAAAAACCATAGAAGTTTAAGTTTATCTCACTTTCGAATTTGGGGAACACACACAGAGACACACATACGAACATTGTGGTTTTGTGTTTCTCTGTCTAGTAGGTGGAGAGATTGACTGAGAACAACCTTCATTCACAGACAGATAGGTAGAGTACTAATGTGAGCATGATTTTTCAAATAAGAATTAAAAATCCATATTAATTCCCAAAGCACTTTGCCCCCTTCACCCTTTTCGGCTCCAGAGTCACCCAATATTTATTGAAACTTTTCTTTTTGATGTTCTTGGTGCATAATGATCTTTCCATACCTATGAAGTCTTGGGCAGATTTATTTTATTTTATATTATTTTTTTAAATTATGGTTGACAGTCAATATTATTTTATATTAGTTTCAGGTGTACAGCATAGTGATTAGACGTTTATATAATTGATGAAGTGATGGCCCCATTCGTCTAGTAGCCACCTGGCACCACACATAGTTACGACAGTATTATTGACTATACTCCCTAAGTTGTACCTCATATCCCCATGACTATTTTGTAACCACCAATTGGTACTTCTTCATCCCCTCATTTTTTAACTCAGCCCCTCTACTCCCCTTCCATCTGGCAACCATCAGTTTGTTCTTTGCGTCTTGAGTTTTTTTCTGTTTTATGTTGTTGTTGTTGTTGTTTCTTTTATCTTAGATTCCACATATAAGTGAATCATATGGTGTTTGTCTTTCTCTGTCTGACTTATTTCACTGAGCACAAGACCCTCTAGGTCCATCCATGTTGTCGCAAATGGTAAGATTTCATTCTCGGGTTTGCCTAGGAGACATTTGATCTGTCGCTGCTCCTTGGTT